GCAGAAAGAGAGCAAGCAAGTTTTGTGTCTTGGACAATGGCAGCAAGCCAGTACAGTGCCAGCTGGTCTGGTAGTGTCAGCAGCTGCACCCCCTCTAAGTAGGTGCCTGGGCCTGGGGCAAACTACCATCTGGTAGCACACTTCCAAGGGTGGTTGTGGGGAGTCTAGAGCTCATACGGTAGTAAAGGGCCCCAATGGGACTGTAGATCCATAGTTTGGGATGGGGCTGACAATCTTCCCTGACAGCCAAGCTCCATTCACTTGCAAGATGCCATGCAGGATTCCTCTCCATAAATCCTTTCCATAGAGAGGATAAGTATGCCTCACCTAGGCTAAACCCCTCAAAAACCTCTTGCAAAGACATTGATTTGGTCCGTTTTCACACTTTATTTTGAGCAGATTATTGGCCATTATCACAACAAAACAAATAAATTGATCCTTAGCAATCAAGCTGATATAAATGCAGCTCAAGAATAATCTTATATCCAGACAACCAGAGGAATGCCATGTTAAGAGTTGGGTGACCATCACTTGATTTAATGCTGGAGGGTCAACCTAAATGTTGACACGTATCTAAATTTCTCTGCGTCTCTGGGCAGAATCCAGAAGCTAAAACAGAATCTCTTTGTGGTTAGATGCTTCCTGTTCAGTAATAAAAATACATAAAACATTCAATATAACTCAATATCACATGGATTCCATTGGAAATATCAATGTTGTTTTCTTCCTAGAGTATGGAAAAATGGCAATCCCAAGATTAATGCTCATTCCCAGTTCTGCTGTGGGTTTCTGGTTTGACCTTAGGGAAGTCAGTTAAATTCTCCATGCCTTAGTTTCCCATCTATAAAAGGGAAATTTCACTATGTCCTTTCTCCCAGCCTTGGTGTGTATTTTCTGATTGGAATATAAGGCTTTTGCGGGAAGAATCTGTGTCTGTCTGTATCTAGGACAGTGGGGCAATTAAGAGCTGGGATATCTACAGCTCACCACAATACCAGTGTCCATGCAAGCTAAATGTTCTGTCACGCTCAAACAAGAATGACTCTCTCAGAGGGTATAGACTATTTCAAGTTAAAATATTTCATTAACCGTCCATTGCAACCAAAGCAGACATTGGCACCTCTTCTGCATTTCATTCCAAAGTGAGCATACAAAGATACTCAGCAGCACTTTTATAAATGTGTTCCTTTCTGCATGTATATCATTTACCCAAACCACTAGGCTCATTTATGTTGGCTCACATTACTCCAGTGAGGTTGTCTAGTTCTTTTATGGGAGGTGGTTTCTGGACTGTTTCACCATTTTACCTACTTCTTTTGGCAAGAACCAATAGAAACTCTTGAACTTGTATTTTGCCCTAGTGCTTGAACCTTAGAACTTGCCTTCCAATTTAAGGAAATACCTTTAATTTTTCAAGATAATGCAGACTATTATTTCTGCATATGATGGCCCCAAAACATTTTAGTACCATATTCCCGCTGTCAACATAGATGAACCATGAATCACAACACAAAGACTAAGCTACAGGCCAAATTGCTGTCCAAATTCTGAATGTTCTTAACACTGATTTTAAGTCAGTCTCAAACTTCTTTCAAATGTTGGGGGGGGCTTCCATTTTTATTTATTTTGAATGCAATATAAGTAAACACTGTAGTTTGGGGGGATATATAATTTATTTTTGCTAGTTATAAATTACTATGTAACCCAGGGTGGTGGGGTACGGGTTGGTAAATGAAAGTTCTGCATGGCCATTAATGACGACTACAGTTTGCATAAACTCTTGTTTATCAAGGCTCAGTTGCAACTTGTACTTGCACTGCTTTATAAAATGGAATTATTATTAACAGCTCACATCTTTGTCTGTTTGGTTGATTAACAGAGCCAGTAGAAGTGAAACTAATGCAGAAAGCCGATTAAGCTGGAGTGACTTGAGGTTGAACTACAACAGATCTCTATATTAAAGGGGCCTACTGAATCCAGCCTCACAGAAAGGCAGGAGAGAGAGATAAAGCAAAGCAAATCGTGTGTGCCCAACAATGGATATAACCCCAGAATCTGTCTGCCCTTAGTTACACTGTCAGAAGTCAAGGAGAGCTTATATACTACAAGTTGAAGAACATCTGGACAGGTGAATCTTCAAACCTGTTGGTCCCACGTTCACAGTGACTGCTACACTGTACAGGAAAGGGGCACCAAGGTCAGATAGATCTGGCTGATATCCATATAGCTTTGGTTAGTGAGCATTCGAGGTGTTCTTTCTGACAGCTGTATCTTTTTTAATAAAGATGGAACAAAGGCTCGTGTTCGCACCCCAAATTTACCTCTTTGCAGACCTCCTTCACAGCCAAGATAAATCTTTTCATATTTTGTATTTATCCATTTTCTCCACTGACAGCCCTTATTTCTGCTCCTTACTTGGCACATAACTCCCACTCCTATCTCATTTTCTCCATTGCTTATTCACCTTGTTACCTCCTCTAATTCATCTTGGGCTTTTCCAAAACCCTCCTTAAATCTGATCTCTTCTGTGATGCCAATGAAATGTGTGATAAAGGGCACATAGCTATTGTGCTAGAACTAAGGCTTCCATTACTAATCATAGCTATTTTTTATGTGTGCTGTATCCACCTACTGTTTCTCAGATTTTAAGCTCCTTGTAGCAATGCCTATCTTTCCACTATACATGTATGCTGTACCCAGTACCATGGAGCCCTAGCCACTGCCTGTGAGGCACCTAGGTGCTGCTGCAATAGAAATCAATAATTTATTGTGCTGATGTGTTTGAAAAGGATTTGCTAAAAATAAAGGAAGCAGGCTATTTGGATTGCATTACTATAAAACCACAGAGTGAAATATTCATTGGCTTCCAACAACATCTCTTGTCTTCCGGACATCTAAGATAGGTGAGTTTTATTTAAACAATCAACCATTCACATACACCCTTTACCAGTGTGAAGAAATCTTACAGAGGTGTTCCTTAAATCAAAAGCTCCCATTCTGCTTTATAAAGTGTGCCCCGAAGCAATTACCTCTTTGAAACCTGCCAAGGTTTGCATACCACTATGAGGATTCAGCCATAATTACGGATTTGGGGTTGATCCAACAGCACAATAGTGTATTTTTATTCAATATTGTCTTTTCCAACATTCATCTCCAATATTTTAAATCGGCAGCAGCTGTCAGTCCATTTTAATCCCAAATATTTGGTCCAAGGTAGATTGGGGTCTGAATTCATAGAGAGACACGTTAGTAACTTTAAATCTGTGGGTCCTAAACTGGGTTTAATAGAGCATTTGCTAGAGATCATTCAGGACCTAACGTTATTCTGATTGCTTTTCTTTATATTTACTTGCTAAATTGCAATAAAGGAAGTTAAAATGCATAAAATCTTTTTTTGCAGCAATCTTCCTTGCAAGTGAATGCTTTAGCAGTATTTTATGACAGTGATTGTCCAGGAACCAATCTTTCTAAAGCCACCCTGTGAAACAGTTTGGATCTTCTGATTGGTTTGGATAATCTGTAGTAAGAATAAAAATAACCCCCTTTTACTGAGAAGTTACTTTGCTGGGGACGGGTTTGGTGCCCTTGATTTCTCTTCTCCTCCTTGTGAACTAAAGCCATACAAGAATCTATTATGAGGTACAAGACAAAGGAGAAGAGAGACATCCAGTGTAAACTGTAAATTCTCCCAAACCACATGTACCTGTGAAGAAAAATCCTACTATTTTAATTTCTGTATATGACTTATTGTAAACTGAGAGCTAGAAGGGTACCATCATTACCCGCAAAACATCCCAGCCACTGAAAGATCCTAGTGCTGGAGTTCAGGAAAGATGAAGCAGAAATACAGCAGGGACAAGGGCAAGACAGACGATGGGTATTTTTGCTTCCAAACAAATGTTCCTTACTGGGAGCCCCCGCACATGATTCCAAACTAGTCAGAGCTGCATGGGCAGACCGAACATAAATGCCATCAGGAGTACAAGAGAATTATGTTGTCGTCCCCATATCCTGTCCTGAACCTATATCATTCTCACCTTCCTGTGCTGAAGTGGGTGAAAGCAAAACCAACTCCATTTGAGTGATTTTTCTGATTTTTCACACATTGTGCCTGCTCTGTTGAACAACCAGTGGAGTATTTCAGGCCTAATTCATGAAAGGTATGCATCCCCATGTTTAATTCATGATGTTGCACAATAATTTTCTTTTTTAGGGGTGTTTTTTTTGCAGGGGGGAGAATCTCAGTGTAATGCATAACTCTCACACACGGAGGTATACTGACAATCTTTTGATAGGTTCTTCCTTCTCCTGGATACAAGTGCAGGGAGAAGAAATTGGACCATTCTCCTGATACTCTGTGGTGTGCTAATTAGATGAATCCTCTACCTTAATGTTCCTGTGGTATAGCTTGACCCCCAGCCCACATCTCTTTGAGGAACTCTCATACGCACAAGTATGCAAGGGCACTTCAGAGTTTACAAGATTTGCTCCTTGGTGTTAAGAAATTTCTGTCACCTCTGTCTGGCATCTGGTCTACGTTAAATCATAGGTGCTCTGGACATATATACCTAAGGTCCTGGTTTCAAGAGTCGCATTACAGTGTCAGCATTTCATCTTTCTATGGCCAATATGCCCCCCTCAGCCCCCACACATACACATGCACACATACACAAAGCACATCTAACCCTCAAATTTGGAAAGGAAAACTTGAGAAGGTGACTGGAGTGCAATGGTCTCTCTCTCTCTCACACACACACACACACACACAGTTCTGCTTGTGTAAATGGATGCAAAGAAGACCCACCTACCTAAGGTATCACCTCTCCCCCAGCCCTCCAAACATTTTTTTTTGCAGGGATGACTATTGCTACCATTCCAGGCTCAGGTAGATCTACAGCATAGGTTTGGGACTACTGCGAAGGGCCTTATGGCATGTCATCCTAGGGTACAGGAGTACTTTAATCAACTGCATACACTATACACTGCATTTTCTTATAACCTCCATATTTTTATTTAAGAATTTTACAATTCAAAATATAATGAAACAGAGTACTTTATTATAAAAACTTATAAAACAATTAAATATTACACTTATATTTTTGCTTTTTTACACTATAACCCATATTTTATGTGGCACTATCATTTTCTCTTCTGAATTGTTGTCACTTACTTAAGGAAGTAAGCAATGAAATATAAAGAAGAAGCTATGCATTAATAAATTAATTATTTTACATCAAATAATAAAAGGACACAATAATAAAAAACAACAAAAAACCCTTGCAGTTTTCCTAGAAAAAAATAGAAGTTATAATTATATGATGTCCAATATCAGACAGAGCCTAGTAGATTGAGATATGTTACCAATCATTTCTTAAAGTATCATAGTAAACATGTTTTTCATTTAAATTGTTGCAAAAGGAACTGCTAATTTTAACTGACCACTGTCTGGCATTAGTGCTGAGCTGGCTAATTCTAGTTTGAAATGATATTTTAACAAGCAGTAAAATTGAGATGCATTCATCAAAAGCAGTTGTGGGAATGGGTGGAATTAGATAAATATGTCCCTTATAGCCACTCCCCAGAAAATTACAGTAGGACACAGCCCTGTCTCAGTTAGAATGGTTTTGGCAAATAAATTGGGTGTTTTTCCAATGCAGTAACATTTTAAATTGTATCATTCAATACACGGTCTCTACTGCCTGTTGGCTATTGCAAATATCATCGCAGGTGTTATAAAATGCATGCTATTTGCTTTAGGGCCCCTGATCTAAATAAGTGGATTTTGATCGTTATGAAAATATATAGAGATATCATTGATTTAATTTTTTTTCTGGTTAGCTTACTACTTTTCAGCTAATGATATTGCATGTATGAATAAATAACTCTTCAGCAACGTGTATACATGAAGTAAAAGATTGGCCAAGCTTCTGTTTCCTTTTCGGTAACTGATGAACCAAAATCTGCAGAGATGGAATGAAACATTCTTCAACATATTGGTATTCAAACAATTTAGCTTCTGGCAAAACATAGTTTGAGTATTCATTACTGATAACCAAGTTTAAACCATAACACTACATATCATATGAGCTTAGAAGATGGAGAACTTTATAACCATTAAGCTCACCAAATCCTTGGATGAGTTAGTTGAAATACAAAATGCTATTGTATTTGTAATACACAGCAATGCTAAACGTCCAACATATTCTAACAGCTGAATATTTCTAGGAATACATTTCAAGTTGCTAGGTAACCACCTCTGAGTTTCTACACGAAGCAGAAGGTGAATTCTTCAAAACAATAAAAACAATAGCATGATGCAAAACTCGCTTTTCCAGCAGCAAGTGTAATAGAAAAGCACCATATATCTCCGTAGTGCACTCTTTTACTTCTTGGGGTCACAGCACCTGTGACACTGCATTCTCCAGGCAACAGTCATCTGAATTTCTCTCTTGTGAGAATGGCAGTAAACACCTTCCTTCCTTTGGAAAGTTTATCATCATAACAAATAGGGACAGGACACTATGTTAACACTGTGGTATATGTACCATCACACTGTAACCTTATTTGTGGAATTGGCAACCTCTTTTGATTGCATTCCATTAAATTATCCCAATAAGCCTTGCTTGCCTTAGTGTTTTCCTTATAAGACAGTGCAAAATGATACACTTAAAGAACGAATTGTCCCTTGCTTCTTAGTGTTCAAGTGATCCATAGTACCCTGTACTTTAGTGAGGTCAGCAAAAAAACCAGGCCTTGTTCACTATTTGTCCAACAATTACTGTACCTCAGACATTCCCTTAGAAAATATTACTCTATGGCATGTGTCTCTTCCACCAGTGGTTTATGTGGCACCATGTCCTGCCACAGAATAAATTTAATTCCAACATAAATTGAAGGGAAGAATCCTGTCATTGCAGGGCTGGAATAAAATATTGCTATCAGATCTTCTTTGTGCATGATTTACAGCATTGCTTGCCATAAAATTTGTGGTTGCAGACACCATGCTGGGGGACCAGATGACACCAAGTGAAGAAATCCACACAGGAGGGATCATCTGAAAGAAAAATCCAAGCAGTATGTTTAGATCATGTTTCAGCACTTGTGCAAATGGGGCAGTACTGGAGCATATTGATTTTTACACATTGGTTGGTAATGCATACCTGCTGGATGGCTAGAGTTAAAGGAGTGCAAGGCCATGAACCATCTTTCATTTCAATATTATAATTTCTTGTTGAGTTATCAGCTCACCTTTTTTAAGTAATGTGCTTCAGATCTCTGAGAGGCTATGGAAACAATTTATAGCACAGCACTTTAAAAGTGGTTTAGGGTGAAACCACAGGCCCATTGACTTGATTGAAGTCAATCAAAGGTCTACTATTGATTTTAATAGGACTGGAATTTCCCTAATCTCTATATAATTTTATAGATTATAACTACTGTAGTAAAACCAGCTACTTGTACACACAGACCCCTGAGTAAAGCATATTATAATGCTTGTTAATATAACCATTACACCGTGTTTGATCTGCACCAAAGATAGTATATACTGTTTGTGTGCATGTGTGTGCTTCTCCTCCTCTATAGAAATGTCTAAATGTGTGGACCTCAGTCTGTGTGCGCACAATAAACTGTATATATCTTACCATATTTTACATGGCTTGTATGTGTTATCAAGATTGTGTGCATGCGGGCCAAGTACAGACCGCCAAAAAGCCCGAGGCAGAATCAATTCAATTGTGGCAACTTCCTCTAAGCTGCGCAGGTTGGACTGCTAACCAGCTGAACTGACATTCAGTTTTTAGTTGGGAAAGGCGGGGGCAGGCCCGCACTGAACCACGCCAGTAGGCGGGAGGCGCTAGAGCACATCTCCCAGTCTGCTGACCATTGCCAGCCCAGCCGAGTGTCCCCACTTGGCTCCTCAATACATGCCCTCAATGCCCTGCCCACACACGGGGGATTGAGGACACCCTTAAGCCCCCACAGGGGACTAAGGACACCCTGTCCGGGTGCTGGCCCACCTTGGAGGAGCTTCCGCCTCAAAAGGTTCCCCCCAGTCTGGGTTCCCCTGCCCTTGCAGCCCTGGGGAGCAAAGGGGAATCCTCCCCTCCTTTTTCCCAGCTGCCGATTGCTTCAGCCACTGCCACAGGAGGTAGGGAGAAGAAGTCCTTTGGGCCGGGTGCCTGCCCATGCAGCCCAGCATGGGGGCACCGGGGAGCCCCTGCCTTAGGGGGGCTTCCCCCATCTCAGCCCAAGGTTCTCCAGGGAGCTGAGGGAAATTTTCTCCTCCCAAACCCCACAGCTGCTTGCCTTAGCCCCTCTGAGTCTCCGGGTAGACCCAGGCAGCCTCAAGGAGTGAGGGGAATTCTACTTCCCTGCAAAATTTTTGCCTCAGAAGTGCAGCAGGTCTGACAAAACTGGCTGTGGAGGAGCAGGAGAATTTCCCTCTCCTCCCTGAGGTTGCCCGGGGCTATCCCTGAGACTCGCAGGGACTAAGGCAAGCAGATCTAGGGTTGGGGAGGGGAAGAATTCCCCTCAGCTGCCTGGGGCTGCCCTGGGCTGGAAGACCCTGGGCTGGGGTGAAGAAAAGCCCCCCAAAGCTGGGACTCCCCAGTGACCCCATGCTGGGCTGCATGGGCTGGTACCCAGCCAGGAGGACTCTTTCCCCCTCCCTCCTGTGGCAGCCGCTGAATCAATCAGGAGCTGGGAGTGGGGAGGGCTGCCAAGGGTCAGAAAGCCCCCACCATAGGAGCTTTCCCTCCCCCGCGTGCTGTGTAGAACCTGCCTTAGGGTAGTCTGGGGGTCTGTCCCCACCCTCTCCTCCCCGCCCCCCCATCCCTATGGGCTGACGGACAGAGGTTATAGAGCAGAGGAGTGAGGCAGTCCCTGCTCCACTGGAGCAGACAGCATAGCCCAGGTCTGCAAAGCATCCTGGGATGCTGGGGGACTGTGAGTTAACTTGAACCGGGAAGGGATCTGAAACAGAAGTTCCATAAACTGCTTTGTAGTATCAGTTCAGTCTGATACTACATTCAGCCAAGTTTATCTTCAACTGGCTTGGGCCATTTTGAAAGTGGTTTATGTGTACTCAGCTGTTCTGTTGCAGACTTAAACCAGTTTCCAATCCCTTAAATCGGTTTATGTGTAACTTCTGTCCCTAGCCACAAGGGTTAAGATTTGCAAATACAATACAAATTCTACTGTAGCTTCCTTACTTTTGACACTCAAATATCTCCAGTATTTGTGAGTACAAATGAGAAGTTCTCAATCAATTATAGATGTAATTTGTTAAGTAGCATCTGAGCTGAGACTTCTCGAGCAATCTAAATCACAATGCAACATGCAATCTACTATATTGTATATCTGCTCTATGACTTTAAAAAACTAGGGTTTTTCACAAGCATTTGATGTTGGCCTTGCTCTGTCTTGCTCCCATTAACTGATGTGGGGAAATTCTCATTGGTTTCAGTGGGAGAAGGATTCGTTCACCAGAATGTACCTTTGAAAGTCGCCCCTTTTAATTAAAAAAAAAAAAAATCAGACTATGAAATCCCATGCTTTACTTTGCTTATCTAGTACAGAGTTTTTGCATGTAAAGTCCCGTGTGTTTAAAAAAATTCCTGGCCGTCTGAGTCCACATTTTTTGTAATGGGTGCTTTATACTTCTTTTA